TTGGCTGAGAGAAGGAGATATTCAAGGCACGTTTGTAACTCTGACCGCACCTGTCAGAGAGTCCAGAAGATTTATTTTATTCTCACTCCAGGTCAAAACATCATTTATCATGGGCGCCCTTAGGAATATCTGAGTAATTATTGGTACTAAATAGTGGAGGAGATGAGAATAATTTAAGTTAATACACAGTTTTATTTCCCCCTCCATGACTTGCCATCATAACATGATGGAGGTTTGCATGTCCCTGTGACCCTGGGGGCTACGTTGTCCAGGGTAAAAAGCTCCTGATAGGGTCTCCCAACGCAGAGTTGTCCCAGGGAAGGAGCCAGACTAAAGGTCCTGATCACACAGAAAGCGTTTTAGCAGCTGGTGCCTTTTTCTAATTGCTTTTAATAAGAAAGAAGCTTTTTGCTCGCAGCTTTTCCGTTGCGATGTGCCTCACGTTTCTGCGTTCTAGGCTGCTCCTCAAGTTGAAAAAACTTCAACTCAGAGCAAAAAAAAATGCCACACGTCATCTCTCTTTTTGGTCATCTTTTTTCCCATGGTCGAATCAGATGATGTGAGAGGCGGGCCTTCTACAATGAAGGAGAAACTGGTGGTAGCTGTTGCTGTATACCCAGGGCTATACGCGCAATGACAGACAGCAGGTTGTCAAACTGCCCCTGAGTCATCCTAAAATATGCCTGGAAATCAGGGGCGATTGCTCTGAGACAACAAGGGAAGCTGAACTTCCCCTAAAATTTCATAGAAGAAATGGTCAAATATGCACTATTGAATTTACATTAAANGCTGAACTTCCCCTAAAATTTCATAGAAGAAATGGTCAAATATGCACTATTGAATTTACATTAAAATAAGAATTTACATTGCATTAAACATGCACTAGAATGCGTTAAACATCATGACAATGATGTTCAAACGTCAGCTGTTTATCACCAGTTTTCAAACACGACCTCCCTGTCATACATTCTCATGTCAACACAATGAAAGAGGAGCCTCCAAGAATTCCTATGAGACAGCGCTGAGCAAGTTTTTTTCATGCAGCAAAGCGAGACGGTCATTGGATAAAGGCGACATAATTGTCACTTCCAGTGACGTTCAGCTTCCCTGGGACCTAATGCAGAATGCCGTCAGGAGTTCCTTATTTCCATAAGCCATGTAGCTCATTTTCACCATTTGTACAGTACGCACACAACACACACTGTAAATAAAGACATATACGTTGCATTATTGCGACCATCACAGACCATTTTCTGCAAAAGCAGCGGAGGGCAGAATTCATATATAAATAAATGTGTGTTTCAGTAATATTTGAGAATGTTCAGGGAATGTTGCTATATAGCACTGTTTGTTACCTGGGCCAGTGTTAAGGTGCTGCTCCTTTCAGGGAAACTTATTTTGAGAGAAAATCAGTTTGGGTGGTGTAGACACAGTTCAGGTGTTTAAACCCATCTGAAAATCTTTGAGGTGTGTGTTGCTGTGGTTCTGTGACATGAGTGTGGTTGAAAAAACGGCTTCAATTAAATGTTCCTTTTCTAAGTTACTGCCTCGCTACAATATGACACATTTTATGATGTAAACTTAAAGTGAGCTTCCCCTGTTTGAAAGACCAGCAGCCGCCACTGCTGGAAATGGCCATGATGGAGGAGAAGCTCCTGGACCAACTGGTGGTACTCCCTGTGATCCACCCTCTTTTTTAGGGTCTCATGTACCCACACAGATCTCTGTTTCTCTGTGCCCAACAAACTATTTACTAACAGCGTTACAAGCATTTTTTTTTTTGTTTGTTTTTTTTTTTACTGGTGGCATTCAATCTTAAAAAAGCAGTGTAATGCGCCTCATGTTTTGCAACCTGCAAAACGCTTTCTGTGTGATTGTGATTTAATATACTGTGATAAATCAGCTGAGAATGAGCTGGAACATCTCACCCAGAACAGGGAAACTGGGGCCTCTTCCTTGAGCCAGACCTGGGAGGAAGGCCAGCTGGTGAGCGTCTAATGGCCAGGCCTTAATCCATGGGGCCCACTTAGGCTCAGGCCAAAAAAATGACATGGAATCTGTGCCCACTGGCAGGGATAGGCATTGCAGTTGGGTGCATTGTGTGTTGGGCAGCAGGTAGGGGCGGGGACCCAGGCGTACTGACCCCTGGCTTTGCAAACTGGCTCTGGGGATGTGGAACGTCTCCTCTCTGGCAGGGAAAGAACTGCAGCAGGTGCAGGAAGTGTAGCGGTACGAAGTAGATATAGTTGGGCTCACCTCTATGCATAGCACTGGTTCTATAACCAAACTCCTGGAGAGGTGCTGGGCTCTTGCTGTTTCAGAAGTTGCTGTGTTGGAGTTCTCCCCGGGGAACAAGAAGGTCGCCTCTATGCGACTATGAGTAGCTGAGAGGAGGTCTCTGATTGATGTTTGTGCTTATGCACCAAACAGCAGTTCAGAGTACTCACTCTGAGTCTCTAGGGTGCATCCTGGAAAGGGTACTCACTGCGGACTTTGTAGTTCTACTAGGGGACTTCATCACTCACATTGGCGACAATGGAGAAACCTGGAGGGGGGTGATCGGGAAGAACAGTCTGCCTGATCTGAACCTCAGTGTTGTTTTGTTATTGGACATCTGTGCTAATCACTGATCGACCATAGCAAACACCATGTTCCAGCATAGGGAGGATTTTTAGAGTACCTGGTTCCAGAACACCTCAGACAAAAATTGATGATCAACTTTGGTGTTGTATTATCAGATCTGCGGCCGTGTGTCTTGAACACCTGGGTGAAGAGAGGAGCAGAGGTGTCAACTGATCATCACCTGATGATGAATTGGATCAGATGGCGGGGGAGGGTGCCGGACAGACCTGGTAGACCCAAACATGTAGTGAGGGCAAAGAACTTTTCGTGTATCCAGGGGGAGGTTGGGAACATCAAATCAGAGTGGGCCATATTCAAAAACTACTCCAGTGTGGAGGTGGCTGCTAGAAGTTATGGTTGGAAGGTCATCGGTGTCAGTCGTTGTGGCAACCAAAGAATATGCTGGTGGACACCAGTAGTAAAGGAGGTTGTTGGGCTGCAGAAGGTGGTATTTTCAGGCTTTGTTGGCCCAGGGGTTGCTGAAACAGCACCTGGCCAGAAAGACTGCTGCTATAGCGGTCGCCAAACAAAAAAGTAGGTGTGGGAGGAATTCAGGGAGGCTTTGGAGAGGGACTTTCAGTTAGTCTCAAGGAAGTTAGTGAGGGTAAAAGAAAATGCAAGATGGATTTCGGTGTGGCGTCATTAGTGATACAGGCAAAGAGGAAGCTTAGCCAGAAGTCGAAGCTCTCGATTTCCTGATCCATCTACATCCCAACCATCACCTATGGTCATGAGCTCTGGATAGTGACCAAAAGAATGAGATCGCAGATACAACTGTCTGAAATTAGTTTCCTTAGAGACAGGATGAGGAGCTCAGACATCCAGAGGGAGCTCTGGGTGGAGCTGCTGCTCGTTTATGTCAAAAGGGCCCGATTGAGGTGTCTCAACATCTGATCAGAGACCTTCTGTGCACCTCCTGTTACAGGTTTTCTGGGCATGTGCAACCGGTAGGAGACCACAAGGCAGACTCAGAACACCCTGGAGGGATTATATATCTCATCTGGTCTAGGAATGCCCCAAGATCCCCCAGGAGGAGCTTAAAATTGTTGCTGGACATCTGGAGTACCTTGCTCCAGATAGGAGACTTTTAGTAATGAGGTGTAATTTTCTGAATGTAGTTTGGTTCAGACAAGTTAAACACAAATGGGACTCATAAATTTAAGGTTTAAATTGATTTACTAAGATTAAACTTGGCCTTGAAAACATTGCAATGGGTCTGAAAATTGCAGTGGTCTTGGAGGAGGTTACAGTGGGCCTTGACAAGCTTCCAGAGGTCCTCGGAGATGTTTCTGGAGGCTTGAGATCATTTATGGTTCTTGAAGGGTTTACAAGTGTTCTTGAGGAGATTTCAGTCCGAACCTTCTAATTTTGTCTTTGATTTCAGAAACTTTTCAATTTGTTGTGTGAAACACTTGGATCTGTGTGAGACAGGAATTGTGTGTGATTGACCAGCTACAGAACACACACATACACACACACACACACAAAGCACACAAAGCACACAAAGCAGCATTGTATTTGAACAAACAATGGAAATGTAGGCTATGCTAAAACTCTACACACAGACACACACACACACAGTGGAGATGATTGTTGTCACTGCGACCCAGATGCTTCCTGCTTCCTGGAGGAAGTGTGTGAAGAATGGCAGGAAGTCGAAGGGTCGCAGAGGGCGGAGCCATAACTAATGGACCAGCATTGTCATGGTAACACTGTGATGGGTAACCTGACACTGTGTGTGTGTGTGTGTGTGTGTGTGTGGTGTGTGTGTGGTGTGTGTGTGTGTGTGTGCATGCGTGCGTGTGTGTGTGTAAATATGCATCAGATTAGATTTATAACTGAGCTTATAGGTTTGGAGGTTCATTTTGGAGGTAGGTCATTTTTAAGCTTACTATGACATCACAGAGCTGCAGAAATAAAGAGAAAAAAACTGAACCAGTCATTGTGTGGAGGAAGACCAATAAAACATGTATGTCATAAAATTTCAGTAAAAAATGTCATACAATAGTATGTCTAAAAATTCCAGCAAAAATAGTCATAGTATATTATGTCGAAAAATTTCAGTAAAAATCATCATAGTATAGTATGTTGAAAAATTTCAGTAAAAATCGTCATAGTATAGTATGTCGAAAAATTTCACTGAAAATAGTCATAGTAAAGTATGTTGAACAATTTCAATGGAAAAGTCATATTACAGCATGTCGACAAATTTCAGAAAAAAAGTCGGTAATGTATGTTGAAAAATTCCATTGAAAAAAGTCACAGTATAGTATGTCGAAAATTTTCATGAAAAAAGTCATAGTATAGTATGTTGACAAATTCCAGTAAAAATAGTCATAGTAAAGTATGTTGAACAATTTCAATGAAAAAAGAAAGAATTGTATGTTTTCACAGCAGATTTTTATTAGAAACATGAAAATAAAGGCAGTAGCAACAGAACTCACTGAAAACATGTATCTGACTTTTCTTTGCAGGACTTTAGTGTTCAAAGACAAACTTAACAACAACCAACAGTCGTTCACAGATCAGAGACTCTGCAGATAATGTATTGGGAAAAGCTTGTCCTCACACTCTAAATGAAGAATCATGAACATACCTCACTGTGATCAGAAAATCAACAGCACTTGTGAGAATAACCTTTAGAACGTTTTTATAAAGGTAATTACAATTACAACCGCGAAAATGTGTTGAGCATCACAAAACACAAACAACACAAAGATTTCTGATGATCGATACATTTTCAAACTACTGTGGTGATTCCAAATGAGTCCAAGTTTCCACCAGACTCTGTTGTTATCTTCCTTGCTTGTTTTGTTTTCCTTGCTTGATGATTTTCTGAGCACATTCAGACGATGATCTGATCTCACATCAGTCAACATGTTAGAAACAGCTGACCGAGGGACGATGTATTCAGATAGAAGACAAAGAGAGACATTTTCCACCATATAATAACTAGTATTTGAAGATGTAGAAATATCTGAAACAAACAGAATGTGATGCTGCAGCCTTCAGTCTTCACTCAGGGTTTAAAACTAACTGGATGTTTAACATGCATCAAAATTGTTTGTTCTGAACCTACTGCTGATTGGCTGTGACTTGGAGGCTGACAGGCTGTGCTGGCTTGTTAATTAGTTGGTCAACTGGTTGTCAAGAGAACTTAGGCAGCAAATGCAAAATAAAAGAGGAAACATAGCGCGAACAGGTGAGGTCAGGCAGCACTGGAGACAGCAAGTTTCTTTAGGTGATCCATGAACACCTGCAGGCTGACGTCGTCTGTCAGGATGGGAGCTCCAGACTCCTGCAGAGGAAACCACACAACACATCTTATAGCAACACATCTCATAGCACTACATCTCATAGCAACACAGTGTTTAACTAAAACCCAGTTCAGACTGAAGATTAGCGATGACACGAGTTTAAACAGGCAACTACTTGCAATACGCCATTCTGCAACGTTCTAAAACTGTTACATCTCGTTGATAATCTTTGGTCTGAACTGTATTTAGAGGTCAAAGTCTCACCTGTCCCCAGGCGTACATGTTGTTGTGGGTCTGGGAGGGGTTCACTTTGGAGAGCAGGAAGCGAGCCTGGAAAACATCATCATCAAACATTTAACTTCCTCTCTGTGTGTACATGTATTTATGTATTTCTACCATGAAACTTACATACACAACAATACACACAGTTTCACCTCTTTAATGATTAATAATTAATTTTACTTTTACTGCAGCATACAATCATGAAGTATAATGTAGCTGCAGCACAAATTTTTCAATGAAAAAAGTCGTAGTATAGTGTGTTGAAAACTTTCACTGTAAAAAGTCATGATATAGTATGTTGAAAATTTTTACTGGAAAAAAAAAAAAAAGCCATATTATAGTATGTTGAAAATTTCAGTTGAAAAAGTTATAGTATAGTATGTCGAAAAGTTCCAGTGAAAAGAGTCATAATATAGCATGTTGAAAAATTTCTGTAAAAATGAAGTCAAAGTATAGTACAGTGGTGGAAAAAAGTTTTCGGACACCCCATGCATTTGTGAAATATTGCATTAAGAATCACTCTTAGGTCTTCAAGTGCAATTTCTTTTAGTACAGTCACAGCCAAAATACTAAATAAATCCTAAAAAAGCCATTAAAAACTTAAAATTGATTGGTTCCATAAAAATACATAAGAAATTTTGAGTATTGGGTCATTATGGTACCAGTGATGAAGGTCGTTCTTTTTATTAAAAGACACAATTTTGTTGCCAAGCTTCGTGTCTACATAAAGCCAGCACATCTGAAAGTTCTTCAGACACAAAAATGGCTAAAACAAGGAACCTAACGCAGTAAACACGCCTGAAGATAAAGATTCTCAGCCAGGAAGGGTACAGCTGCCGCCAGATAGCCAGGAAGTGCAGATGCAGTCCTTCAGCAGTTGGATACACTCTGCAGAAATACAGACGAACCAACAGCTTGGAAGACAAACCAAGATCTGGGCGTCCAAGGGTTTCTTCAGCAAGAAATGACCGCATCCTGATCCGCATGTGCAGGCAAAACCGCCGAATGACATCACAGGAGCTTCAGCAGCAGTGGTCAAACCAAACTGGTGTCCAGTGTTCCACCCGCACTGTACGTGGCCGACTTTTAGATCATGGCTTAAGGTCCTACAAGGCTATCAAGAAGCCCCTGATCAATGAGAGACAGAGGTTAGCCCGGCGTCGTTGGGTCCAGGCACACAAGAACTGGACAGCCAGGAATTGGAAGAAGATTTTGTGGTCAGATGAGTCCAGTTTCCAGCTTTATCTTCCTCCTACTAATGTGAGGGTACGCAGAAGGCCAGGCGAAGCATTATCTCCAGCATGTACAGTACCTACTGTCAAGCATGGTGGAGGCAGTATCATGGTTTGGGGATGCATGAGTGCTGCTGGTGTTGGTCATCTCACTGTCTGTGATGGCACATTGAACTCTACCAAGTATTGTACCATTCTCGAAACCCACATGCTCCCTTCTGCGCGTGCACTGTTCCGTCAAGGTAAAAACTGGATGTTTCAACAAGATAATGCCCCTTGCCACACATCCAAGGCCAGTAGAACTTGGCTGCAGGAGCACAGTAAACAGGGCATAAGAGTGGCCAGCTCAATCCCCGGACATGAGCCCCATTGAAAATCTGTGGTGGATTATCAAAAGGTCCGTTTAAAAGCATAAACCAAAGAATTGAGAAGAATTAAAAGCAGTAATTCAAGAAGAATGGGACAAGATTACCCCTCAACAGTGTGAAAGGCTCGTGGGGAACATGCCAGCCAGGATTAGAGCTCTACTACGTGCCAATGGCAGGACTACTAAATATTAATTTGATGATGTGATGGTTTATTTATTTTTTGTTCAGTTTTGAACACATTCTCTGTTATTTGTTGACTTTGATACCGACAATGTTGAGAACTGACATATTGAAACTGTCAAGAATTTAGTTTTGTTAGTTTTTCTTATAAACAATAAACAAAAAAATATAATTTGTATTTGTTTGTATCTGTCTAATGCAGCCACACCTTTTGAAACACAAAAAAGATTTTTCCACAAAAATTTCATGATAATATTTGAGATTGTGTAAAATTTTAAGGGTGTCTGAAAACTTTTTTCCACCACTGTATGTGGAAAAATTTCACTGAAAATAGTCATATGGAACTATGTCGAAGAATTTCAGTGAAAAAAGTCATAGTATAGTATGTCAAAAAATTTCGATTAAAAAAGTCATATTATAGTATGTCGTAAAATTTCAGTAAAAATAGATAGTAAAATATATCGAAAAATGTAACTGAAAAAAATCATAGTATAGTATGTCGAAAAATTCCAGTGAAAAAAGTCATAGTATAGTATGTTGAAAATTTTCAGTGAAAAAAGTCATAGTATATTATGTCGAAAAATGTAACTGAAAAAAGTCATAGTATAGTATGTTGAAAAATTTCAGTGAAAACATCATAGTATAGTATGTTGAAAATTTTCAGTAAAAAAAGTCATAGTATAGTATGTTGAAAAATTTCAGTGAAAAAAGTCATAGTATAGTATGTTGAAAAATGTAACTGAAAAAAGTCATAGTATAGTATGTTGAAAATTTCAGTGAAAAAAGTCATAGTATAGTATGTCGAAAAATGTAACTGAAAAAAGTCATTGTATAGTATGTCCAAAATATTCAGTGAAAAAAGTCATAGTATGTCGAAAATTTTCAGCGAAAAAAGTCATAGTATAGTATGTCGAAAAATTCCAGTGAAAAAAAGTCATAGTATAGTATGTTGAATATTTTCAGTGAAAAAAGTCATAGTATAGTATGTCAAAAATTTTCAGTGAAAAAAGTCATAGTATAGTATGTTGAAAAATTTCGATTAAAAAAGTCATAGTATAGTATGT